CCAAAATTTTCTGTTCACACGCAGAAGTACCTCACACTCTAAGTTATTGTCACTGAGGGTGCTTCTCAAATCCCTAAAAGAGATTCCCGCCTGCCAGAAGAGTCTTTCCACTGAGGCACTGGAAGGCAATCCCACGTTGTATTTGAGGAACATCTGGGCCAGCCTAGGGAACATCCTCGTCCCGCATGGTCTTACGGCGTAGTAGTCCTCTACAGAGCTAGATCGGGGTGCCAGCAGGTATCGTTCGAGCTCCTGTGCGGCGCTTTCCTCGCCCTCTTCTCCCTGCTCGACCAGTGGAGCATGTGCCACGCCGTAGAAGGAGTCTTCGAAGCTTCGCTCGTTGTCAACGGCGACCTCCCTCACCTCGCCGTTGTCATCATTACGGGCACGGCGTTCCGGGTTGTCCAAGTCCTCCTCTGCTGTATCTGATCTCTCAGACGGTGGAGGTCCACCTGAAATTAACGTTATAGCAAAGCTTTATAATTATAAATTCACTTTAAAGTAAATAAGCCGTTAATATTTTACGCACCTGCAGCACACCAGGCCTCACTAGGTGAGAGGGAACTCATTTCTCTTGCTATTTGTGCTTTGCACTCCGCCTTTATTGTGTCATCCGTAATCCAATCCAATTTAAATCTTGGCACCAGGCATGCGGCAATTTGTAGCTCTCTGTCGTTTATGTACGTCTCGAAACGCCGCGGCTTCCGTATCGCCTCAAGGAGCGTCCTGATTAGGGGCTCACAGTATTTCAGAGCCTTGCCCTCCCTTTCCCGGCGAAACCTTAGCTGGCTCTCCAAGGACATAATTGTTGGGAGTAGGTAACCCATGTACATGTTCTTATCTCTTTGAAGAATGTCAAGAGCCGTGGCGACTGGTCCCATAACCCACACAAACTCCCTTAAATATTTGGCTTCAGTTGCAGTGAGTTTGGGCAGACCTGCCGCCTCCAAGGTTCTAGCGAATTTTTCATCACCATCGACACCATCCAGAATTTTGACGATCTGAATGTTACAGAACATAATAGAATAGACATAATAGAAACGAAAATTTTGCGTCGGCTTCATGTATACGTAATATACATACTATACTGAGTGTGCGTGCATAGTGCGTACCTGGGCTTTTGCATCATACTCCGAATTCCAGCGGGTCTCTCCTGGGATCTGCAGCTTGACGCCAAGTCCGGAGTGAATAGCCTCAGCAACTAGAGTGGACTTGTTCTGCCGCCGCCAACAAGTCCTCAACTTTTCGTCCGTTTGGTCGTGAATCTTTTTATAAGCTGCGTTTCGTTCTAGTGCAGCCTTGGTGTCGGTTGACCCCAACAGATTCAGAATGTGTGCTGCACATCGCTGATGGGATGGTAGCTCCACGTCAAAGTCCTCAAAATTTTGTAAATCCACGTCCAGCATTGTCCCAATTTCCACAGGGACGAAATCGTCCACAGCTATTTCAGTATTGGTCGCCTCGTCAACGGCGTCCTCGGCATCGGCGCCCGCGTCATCCGCGTCCTCGTCTTCACCTGTAATCGAAAACAACTAATTAATCTTACAAAGCAACGACGTTAACTGGAACGTACTGCACAAGATTGGCACGGGTGCCGGAAGGGCTGCCTATTCGCCAGGCACTCGGCCCACCCGGCCCTCTGTCACCCGCGCTCCACTCCCGCTAAAATAATAAAAATGCTATTGTTGTCACTTTGGGACCACTTACCGTAACAGTCAGCGTCAGCAGCTTTACCAAATTCCTTGAAAGCCTTCACAAAATTAGATCCACTATCAGTGATAGTCTTTCGAATTTTATCAGGTTTCAATTGAAACTTTTCATGAATTTTCTTCATAGCAGTGGCAAGTCGTTTATGAGTATGTTGCCCTCTCAGCCGCCTGACTGCCAATGCAACCATTCCCCGCTGCATTGTCTTAGGGTGCAGCCATGTACATGTCATGCCGAGATAACTTTTCCTGTACTTAGACCAGGCATCGGCCGTAGTACATAAATATGGCACATCTGCGAGCTCCTTTGTTACACTCTCTACCATTTTGTCGTGGTGACCAGACAACCTAGTAGCAAAAGTTTGTCGGCAGCAAATGGTCAGGTTTTCCGGACACCCCAACAACACGGCATGGCGGAAGTCTGGGGAGTCCACAATACGGTACGGTAGCCTCTCGTTAATGACAAGATTCAGTACCGCGCTGTCCACGTCCTTCTGCGTAATTCTCCTTTTCTTAAAGAAATTAGATCCAGCCTCGGCACCGCTATTAGCTGTTTCAACATGGTCACCGGAGGCCTTTCTCTTCACTCCTTTAGATTTGGCATTCAAAGAGTTCAGCTGGATGTCTGTCCAGCGGTGAACACGCTGCGACAAACAAAAAGAAAGTTAGCGCGCGGGCGGGTTTGCCTATGGGTCGGTACCGCCTTGCGGTCGCGTGCGAGTAGGCAACCCACCCGCAAGCGTGTGTTGCATGCAGTACAGTATGCTACACAAGTGTGCGGCATCCGTCAGCCATCTGATATGTTTAAAACTCGCACTAGTTTGGTATAACCCATCATTTAGTGGCACAAAATATCCCGCAAATAAACTGGTCCCAAAAATAAAAGCAAGGGGACAGCGCCGAACTCAAAAGTAATGCACCGAAACTTAAAAAAACAAACAAGTGCGACTTTCAACCTTCAAACGCTGTGAAACTCTGGTTATCTTAAACTCACCTTCAGATGCAACTTCAAGTT